CGAGACACAGAAAAATCTAAGCTATGCATCGTAAAAACAACTGATTTAACACCAGTTAATTTAGAGGCCTCTAAACTCAACTACGCTTAAAATTTTCAATCAAGCGCTCCATACAAGTCAACTAAAATAATGAAAATTTGTGAAAGTCAGGATCGATTCTTTAAAATGAGCTTTTTGAGAACTTCGCGACTTTTCGATGTTTTTCAAGGTTCAAAAAAATATATATTTGCGTTGATTCAGTAAGAAAAATCAGACCAACTTTTCATTCATCAAACTTGTAAAATCATCGTCTTCTGGCTCGAATAGAAAATCGAAAACAAAGCCAAAAAAAATTGATTTAGACTTTTGTACAATTTTCAAATTTCAAAAAAATGCTAATCATGTTAAACATCACGTTCAATTTATACTGTTTTTGATTGGCACTTTTACGCAATAAATTTCCACTAAGTCGGAAAAAAAACCCAAACTTATTCAGCCGAAAAAATGAAAGTTTAACAAATCGAGTAGGTGAATTACAACCAACATAAAAAAACTAATTTCGATGAGGCCGGTTCTTTAAAAGCAAACATGCTAAAAATTTGTCTATTGCAACAGAAAAGTCCAGTAGATGAATGAGTGCAGAAGATGAGCCCTGTGAACAAAGTTATTTACTGGGAAAAGTCCAGTACCCGATTGCAATACCTTTCTTTATCGCAAGAGTAACAAACTGGAAGGTCTATTGGAAACAAAAATCAGCAAGAAACTGTTTAGGCCTACATATACAATGATTACTCTGGAGTTTTCTTATAAAAAACATCCATATCTCGCAAACTAAAATATTTAAGAATCTCGTATTTTCAAATTCCATTCGCAAACTTTCTTTAGGGTTTGAAAAAAGCAGCTATTTTGAAATATAGCAAAAAAAAAACATGAGAACATGTAATATCTTTTCATGAAAAGATCCATTATCTCGGGGTTTGAAAGGTTTGATAATTTCGTTTTCGTAGCCGATTTCGTTTTATCCATTAGTTATCTTTTAAAAATTAGAATATATTTACACGTGAATCAGTACTTTTTATGTATAACGGCAATTAAAATGAATTCACCGCTGCTGTGTTACCGACTAACGAAAGCGAATCAGGTCACTTCCGAGAAACAACAAAAATGAAAATCCTCGAAAAAAATATAGTACCCAATTATAAGACACTTTGATTTTGCTAAGTGCAATAATTTGCGGCTAGACCCATCGAACAAAAATAAACATCCAAAAACGTTTCACCAAATATACAGCAGGAACTCGAAATTCAGTCACATATCGCGAGCTTTATTTTCACGCCATCTGGGGAAATATCCAAAAAATCAAAGTTAAATTAGAAAAATACTTTGTTTCAAAGGGAAAAATATTAAAGACTTTTAATTACAAAAATCTTTTATGATTCGTTTTTTGAAAAAACACACAATCTACATATGTGAAAATTTATCACACTTAAAAACTGTGGCTTCATTCAAGTACATATACCAAAATTGCTTTAATTCAGGGGAGGCGATTTTTTTCAATTAATTTCTTGCCGCAAAATTGCCTAGCACACGCAAGTGTAACCGCAGCTTCTTGTCAATCGATTACTCCGGCATTATGGAAAACCTTCCTTTCTAAATACAAGTCCTGATAGCTTAAATTTGAAACTCAAACCTGGTGCTGAGAAGCATGACGTCTCAATGCATTTCACAGGGTAGCGCCAACATGAAGAACTGCCGCTATCAAACTCGCGAATCAGATTTTAAAATCCATACAAGAAGGGCGCAATCCAAAGAATCATTAAAATTCGCATTATATAACTAACTGCGGTTCCAAAAAGCGCGATCCGGAATAAATTTTAATAAGTGCATCAACAACCAAATAATTACAGCGATGAAACGTCGCGAATAATTACAGATTGATTTTTTATTGCCATACAAAAACAATTAAATTTTATAAATTTTGAAGATCTCCTCGTCGCACCAATAAAAATGAGATCAAAACCTTATTTTAACTTAACTTAAAGCAAAATGATTCGCGCCTTTTTATAATTAATGCCGAACACCGAAAATTTACTTTGTACATATTTTGAATATCTAGCTTCTTAATTTAACCAACTTATATCAGTATTCGCGAGGGAACAATTTGCTACTTAGTTGTTCCGTAAAACATTCCATATCTACTCCTACACCCGATAAAATATTGCCGTTTGGCTGTTGTGCCGGTTGGTTGCATTGCAAAATCATTTCATTTCAAAAACTATCTTATCATTATCGTCATTTGCCGCTTTTCGATATGCTACTTACCAAGGGTCCCTACAACCAATTGCTGCTTGCCAAGAATAGTCACCTTACGACTTCTATATAAGTTGGTTAATATTTGAAGCAGATTTTAAAATTCCCGGCGCAAAATTAAACTTTGTTTTCCGTATGAAATTTGGGTGAATTCCCATAGGTTCCAATATTCATAGGTTCCAAAATAAAAAAATCAGTCGCATAAGATCCAAAATTTATCTTCTTGAATTCGGATTGGTTTAAATTTGAGCCAACGAATTTACGGATTGGTTGTTTACTGTTCAACTAGCATAAAGTCAAGCTGCAGAAGAGTGACCGCCGCAGCCGCGCCAACGTGTTGCGAGCTTGCCATCAAAGGGTAGGACTCTTATACGAAATTTAGAGCCGGTTATCGCCCACCGGAGACCTTAAACCGAGACTCGGCTAATTTAGTCTTTTGACCAATTGAAAAGATTTGGAACTTATGCGACTGCTTTTTTATTTTGGAACCTATGGGACTGATTTTTTATTTTGGAACCTGTGAATACGCACCGAAATTTGAAAGGCTCTATTAATCGCGCTTTAGTTGCTTCAAGTGTAATTAACGCACAAGAAAAATCGCACGTGACCAATTTCAGCAATACGGAAGTCAAGAGGTGACAATTCGTCTCAGGCGACAATTGATCGCAGATAACCATTGGCAGCATTTCGAAAAGCTACAATTCGTCGCAGAGCAATTTATCATAACTATATTTGAAACAAACCCATTTAGCAATTCAAAGCAACTAAACGGCCACACTTTAGTCGGTGTGGGATTCAATAGATAATGTTTCATGGAACTACTAAACAATGGAGCCTGATTAAATTGGTTTGAGATATATTATCGTTTTTCGTAATTGCGACAAACTATTGCTTGCTACGAAAAGCAGCTTGAGACGAATTATCGCCATGCCATCAGAAGTAGCTCAAAATGCTCTAGCTACAGGCGTCAATGCAAAAAATAGACGAAAATCATTTCTCAATCGGTTTCTTTTTTCTTTCTAATTTTTCAGCAGTTTGATGGAAAATCAGCAGTGCATTGATATTGAGCTCTCTTCTTCAAAACTTGAGAATTCTAGCTATTTTGTAATCAAAGGCTTAGATGCTTAAAAAGATTGTTCTTTAAAACTTGTATAAGTTTTTCATTCTCTTCGAAAAGCTGAAAACTATCCTAGAGATATTATGATTTTTTTGCAATAGCTTTGATTTATATCGAGACATCATAATATAATATAAAATGATGTAAACTGATATTTCGCTGATTGTTTTTTTATTTGCGACCGAAAGCTAAGATTTTCAAAACAAAATAAATAGTCTGCGCCATCGCGCAAGTTAAACCCTTTAGAACATAGCCAGCAGTTGGAAAAGAATGAACGCAAGGAATTAGAAAAAAAACTGACTTGTTTTTTGAAAAAACTTCAACTTTCAAATTTTAAAGAAAAAAAAAGCCCATGAAAATCTTTGAATTTCACGAAAACTAAATATTTGGTTATTTTTGATAAAATTAACCCGATTGGAGAAAACTGGATCAATAGATAAAATATTTTCCAGAAAAAAAACAAAAATTTACGAAGACCGACATAAGCGTACTCACACCATTCATTACTCTTAAAAAAACAATCAGATTACTTCAAATTGTGCGAAAATTTGTATGAAGTCTTTCGAAACCTTTAGGATTGGCAATTGCTCAGATGACTGGTAGTTCATTTGCCGTTTCATAACATAATTGATTCGATTTGAGGCGCATGAGAAAAGATGTTTTAAAAGGCACATATGTCTATTTTTCACCTTTCGACGGTAAATGTGACCCTTTTCAAGGAAATACACGGACGTTTTTCAGCTCGGGATGCGTGTTTTTGAAAAAAGCTTTTTTTCTAAGTGACAAAAAAAAAGCTTTTTTTTTCTAATTGACAGAAATAAAATAATTGTTAAAGTGATCTTAACTATTTTGGATACATTACACGATAATTAACGTTTGCAAAATTCCGCCTTTTCCACCTTAAACCATTTATTTTGTTCTAAATAGGCCCATTTACTGTTGCCTCGTCCCTCTAATTTTTTTCCTGGTTACAACACTTTGCTGAGATTGAGTTAAAAATTTCGAGTACAAATACATTGAAATTTTCGTCCATTCTGATATGCTTCGATAGCTTATCAAACTCTTGTTCTACAACTCGTTGTCGATACATGAAAAAAGTAGAAAAAATCATTTAGATACTTTGCCACGTTTACACTACACTTACGCCCCATTTAGACCTCGTTTCTTTGGCCTGGTAGACAATTCCATTTAACTTCGCTCCACGAACTATCTTAAAGAGTTGTATGTAAATACACTAGTAATGAAACCTGTCTATCAATGTAAAAAGTTCACGGTATTTTTGAAATATCAAAAAACCGTCTTCACAGCCATTCTTGAATTTCACAACAGTCATACCAAAAAACAATTAAATACCGAAAAAAGGTGAGAACGTAAACAAAAATAAGGCAAAACCATTACAGCTTGGAACCTTTCCGCGAACAATGTGGTTGATCAGCTTAATAGGATAGTGTTGTAAAAATAATAGGTGTTTATCAAGAATTGAAAAATGTGGGTATCGAAGATAGCTCGTTGGAATCAAAAAAACTTGATGATGAGTTAGAAAAATTATAAGCTGCAAGGGTTAAGCCTGAAGATTTCCCGTATGACATATTACCTTTCGATTCATGACAAACAGAATCATCAATTGACTTTTTGGTAAGACCACCCTGACTATTATTTGAGTCGATTTGCTGAATATCCGATACTTTCGTAGCCTGAAAAGGCGGTCGATGAGCTACCGGAGTCGGTAAAACTGAATCTCGCGGAGGTGTTTCGAGAACAGCCGCGGGACGAGCTAGTGGCGGCTTACTGAAAGGCGGTGTAAGAGGTTTCTTCGTGCTAATATTATCAGCACTTGAAGGTTGCTGTGAAGAAGGGGCATTTTGGGCTTTAGAAGGTGTGATGGTGTTTGCAGCTGGCTTCGGAAAAGGTGGTTGATTAGGAATAGGTTTCGAAATCGAAATTGGCTGAAATAAGAAATTCAAAAAATTATTGGCTGAACTATTTGAGTAAAGATTACTGCTGCTTTCCTGCAAAAGAAACTTCGAAGAAAACGTCAACAAATTTTAAAATTGAAAAAAATATATTGTTCATTGCATCTCAAACTAAAACCACAGCAGTAATAAGCTTCAAAAAGTATTTTTCGAATCATTTGATGCAATATTTACTTTTAATCAGCTCAAAATATAGAAAACAACATTAAATACTTGGTAATGAGAGCGACGCAAAGTTTATCGCATTGGCAGTTACTAGAATAAGCGCTATAAAAAGCCTCCTTCTCAGAAAAAAAGTTAAACTTAAAAGCTGAAAAAATTACATTTTTTTTAAAATGGCTGTATATTTAGTTATATGGGAAATTAAGTTCTTGGACGGAATCAACAACCGCACAATTCCTCAACCAACCTGATCCTTTTTTGCAGCTAAACTTTTGCTGTTATAAATAGCTTAGGTAATCAATTAACTAACCCCCCGCCCTTTTAATTAACCAAGTGACCAATCACCCCTAATAAAAACCGGAGAAATTGTGTAATCAGTCAACATGTAAATTTTGAATTCTATTTGACTGACTATGCTTTTGAACAAGCGATATGTCTCTTTGTCTAAATCGATTCAGCATGCTCATCAAGAAATTCACCATTTTTCCAGACAATATTTCTCAATTAGCTATCAGAAGCCTACTTACATCGAGGGATCTTAAATGTTTTTAGGTGAATACTTTTCAATTAAAGCTGGTTTAAAATGTATAAATTCTTCTTCGGAATTCCATAGAATCTATTCAACTAAGACGAAAATAAGAGCATTGGGCGCTACCAAATCAGCTATGTCAGTTTGATCTGACTATCACGATGAAAGCTGCTCCGGCTACTAATTTGACGCTGAAAGTGGCAAGCAGAATAAGGTTGATAGATCATTAAATTGGACGGCATACAATTGAAATTGAAAAAGACAAAATGTCGTATAGACTCATTTCTCAAGAAATTTTTAAGGCTTTACGACTTTTCCATCAATTGGACCACATATGGTCTCCTATTTCTGCATTCTGTTCGAAGTCCAGCTGTCTTCAAGTCCCGGATCCCAGGTCAGTTCGCGTTATTCTCTTAAATTATTTTCAGAATGATGAAAAACATTTTTCTATTCAGAAACGTTCTTCTGGGTTACTTAGTCAGCGCCATTGGGTTTTATGCTCTAAACTCCCCAAAACCAATATTCGGTATCTTGAGCTGAAGCTTAAGTGGTCGAATCTGATAGAATAATTTCAGCCAATCAAATTCAAACAACACGACCAGGCTTTTTAATCGACAATTTTAGCAGATAAGAACATAGCCAACTGACATTTGGAAAAGAGCAATGAACGCAAGGAAAGAAAAAAAAAACAGACTTTTGAATTTTTAAGAAAAAATATATGCCGTTAAAGCTCTTTTAATTTCATGAACAAATTATAATTGGTGCTTTTTTGATAAACTTAACCCATTTTCAGAAAACTAGATCAAAAGGTAAAGTTTTTATTCCGTTGGGAACTCTAAAAATTAAATTCCACTTTCGAAACTAGAAGTCGTTCACGTTTTTTACGCCATTTTCACATTCGTATTTAGAGAGTGCTGTTTACCTAACTTTCAGCAGATCCATTTGAATTGACCTCAAAATGTGCATATATAATTAAGTGCATTCAAAAACGCATTTAAATGTTTGAATGCACATCTGTATTTATTAGAGCATTTTAAGACTTGTTACTGAAAAAAAATCATTAAGACCTATCAAATCCTAAACAAGAGTCTTCAATACGTTCATTACTTTTAAATATTAGCCAACTATGTACAACTTGGTCAAAAAACCAAATTAATGGTGGAAGTCATTTGAGAAATTTTATTCAAGTAGAAAATTCTTCAACCAAAGTTGTATTTTTTGGTCAGTTTGGCTGATAATTTTAACCTACTTGAAACGCCGGACCATGTAGTTGAAATTTGATTGGCTAATTAGTCAATCAGATTCAATAACAAAAATCTCAGTTCAAGGTGTAGAAAAACTGATTTTGGGCCTCTAAGAGCATAAGACCCCCGCCATTCAAACTACGTGAGTTTAGTTAGTATAACAGGCCGACAAGAATTCAATCCGAAGCGACTTCAGGCCAAAGATCAAAGATAAGAAGCACTTCAAAACGATGAAATTTAATCTGCGAAAAGGTAGTTTTTAAATTTCAAGCAATTTAAGTCCTTTGCATCTGTTATTGGTGACAGCAGACTATTAAAGAATGACATACTCTAGTGACATCACACAATTTTTAAAATGCACAAATTACACACAAATAATAGAGTCAACAGACAGTTGCAAAAGAGTCAATGAACGCAAGAAAACAGAAAAATGACTTATTTTCTTTAAAAGCTTCAACTTTTGAATTTTAAGAAATAGATTCTCTTCAAGCTCGCTGAAAATCTACATCAAAATTTGATTGCTACTTTTCTCATTAAAATAACTCAATTTGAGAAAACTAGATCAATAGGTAAATTTTTTATTCCGCTAGGATATCTGAAAATTTAATTCCAATTTCAAAACGAAGTCCATCACGTTTTATGTGACATTTACAAGTTTGCTGTTCGATAGTTTAACAAAGCAATTGAATTGACCTTACAAAGAAACCATGCATCAAAACCGCGAAAAGTAAAATTGAGCCTCAACAAAATTTAGGACTTTCCCTAAAAAACTGAAAAATCATCAGCACTATATAAGAGTCTGAACTGTTATCGACTGTTAAAAAAACCGTTGAATACTGTATAAAAATTTCTCAAACCGTTGAAAACTGCATAAAAACTTCTCAACATCATTAAAATTCTCAAAGTGAATGGAAGAGCCAATAAATGGTAGAAAAAGCTCGAAAAATGAATAACTTCAAAAAAATCCGCAAACTTTTCAAAATCTGTGACTTTTAGAAAAAAATTTTGGTTTGAAGTCCCTGATTTTGCAATTAGGCATAAAGTCCCGTCAGCCTGATCTCCAGGACCCAATATAAATCTTATGGTGACAGGCAAATAAAACAACTGTTTCTGATGGGACTTTAAGACGACAAATTTTTAAAATTTTGAGAAATAAAAAACGCCAAATACATTTCTCGATATGAACTTCTGAGAAAGAGAAACAGCGTAAGAAAAATACAAACTAAAACCAGCAAGCTATTACGTGCTAATGCTCAATTCCTATTTGCTGTTAAAATTCGAGATTTTAATTCTTTATTCCCTTCTGAAGATTGTCACTTTAAACTTTGAAATTGAACCACCAATAAAAACCAAACTTTAAGGTTCTTTTACGCGTCGAACTTCATAAAATGTAAAAAAAAACTTATTTGCTTAGCATATACACTTGTCATCTTGATATCTTATCGCCTTATTTGCCGAGCAACAAACCTCATACCGATCCAAACGCATACAAATAAATGCTACAGCAAATAAATTCAACTAAAAAAATTAAGAACATCAATAGGAAGTAGTCTCACATAGCAAAATACTCGGATAGCCAAAAAAAAAAAATTTTCTCTAAAAGCTGCAAAATTATCAATAAGTACCAAAAAACAAGATTAAATCATTGATTTCACATGGCACTGACAAGTAGCTACCACTCTGGCAGGCTTAGCTCACATTTGACCCAGAGCGCGTGAACCAGTGTTTGCTTAATTTGTAGTCAGATTTTAGCTAATTTTCGGCTATCCGAGGACAAAACATTTGTCGGCGGTTTTCTCTTTCTCTATTTTCTCTTTTCGCATAAACATTGTTTCGTAATATTTTCATACTTGTTCAATTCAACCGGACATTTTCTGCCCTCGCACCCTGATAAAATTTACGTTGATGGTATTTTTATCTGAGCTAAATGGATAAAACCTAAAAATTCAAATGAGTTTTTCTGACATTGGGTCAACTTTAGACAAAAAGGGAGGCAGATAAAAGTTTTCAAGACTTCAATTTATGTAGTTTCTTTTGCAAATACCAGATTTAAAAATTCAACCTTTTTCGGTCCATTTCTTTGATCAACAATAACGCATCACCAACGAGGCAATTTCAAAATCAGTTGTGGAAAAATTGGAGCGCCTTGCTAGACCCAACAAGATATTATCAGGATAAGTGTCGAAAACCATTTAAGTGGCAATTTATATATCAAAACCGATATATTTAGGCTGCAAGAAAAAATGCTCATTTACACTTGTTCAAACATTGAACCAAATTTAATTTTATTGCGTTGAGAAAGACTTTCATTTTAATGAAAGTTATTTTTAAAACACCCAGTAGATTTTGGCGGTGTATTGACTGACATAAAACTCGAGAGGCATAAGGTGATAACTGTATCAACTAGCATATAAGCCGAAAGACAAAGTTCAAATTTTGGGACAATTTTTTCACATAATTCACAAATTGAGCGGCAATCTGTGTTCTGTTCCAGCCATTGCAGGTCAGGGTGAGACTGATCAAAATTTGAGTGGCCAGAAATTTCATTTGCTTGCAAATTGCTCAAGTTCTCAATCGCTAAATTTTTCATCTCTCGGAAAAGAAAAGGTCAATTTGAACGTATTTTGATAGTTGTTTTAAATTTCAGACAATTAAATTTTTTTTAAAATATGCTAGTCGAAACAATTTCCTGTTTTCAAACATTTATGTTAGTCGAGCGTTCATCGTAGCTTTTGATCAAACAAAGACAGCCTAAATGGTACTAGTTTACTTGTCTGGTCCCTAAGCGAGGGTTTGAATCCCGTCCTGGTTTTTGTTTTTAGAAATAGGCGGGAACAATCATATAAACTAGCTTTGTCACGGGACCAAACAAGTACACTAGAACCCCAAAAATGGCCCATTTTTAGGTTGAAAATTTAAATCCTCTTTTCGCCGAACAAATAACACTTCAATAATTCTGGTGAAATCTAGTTAATTGTAATCATTGCTTTTATTAAATTGTGATGAAGTTCTAAATCATTACTTTAACTAAACTGTAA